ATTTTGCAAATTTTTATTTTTACAGTTTAATACATTTTCGACTTCACAAGTATCCAAATTTTCAATTTTGTAATTTTACAGTCTTTTAATTTTTTTATTTTAAATTTTAATTGTACAAAATTTCAATTTTACTGTTTTAGTTTATTTTACAATTTTTCGTTTTTAAAGGTTTCCGATTTTTAAATTTTTCGTTTTTACACTTTTTTGATTTTTCAACTTTACATTTTTAGTATTTTTGAATTTTTAAATTATGCGATTTTTAATGCATCAATTTCTCTTTTTATTTTTTAATTGCTTGATATTTGAATTTTTGATTTGAATTTTTTCGGTTTCAAAATTTTAGATTTTTCAATTTGCGATTTTATAGTTACCGGATTTTTTAATTTTTTGATTTTTCAACTTAATGTTGTTTCAATTTTACGATTTTGTAATTTTTAGCTTTCACCATCATTCGAATTTACTTTTTATAATTTTGTAATTTTTCATTTTTTCAACTTTACAATTATCCAATTTTTCAGTTTTATATTTTTACACTTTTTTTTTTTTTAATTTCAGTTGTATAAAATTTCACTTTTAATTTTTCTGGTTTTTTCAATTATCCGAATTTCATAGATTCGATTTTATAATTTTTTGATTTTTAATATTTTAAAACTGGGATTTGCAATTTTCCATGGTTTTGATTTTTCAATTTCAAAATTTTGCAATTTTTCGGTCTTTCAATGTTGTAATTTTTTCTATTTTAAAATCGTCTGATTTTGTGCAATTTTGTGATTTTTAGTTTTTTTTTTGCAATAATGAATCAGTTTTTCAATGATCAGATTTTCCAATTTTTTCATTTTTTTGTTTTGGAATCCTTCAATTGTTCCATTTTTCAATTTAATGATTTTGAAATTTTTCATTTTTACAGTTTAATAAATTTTCGAGTTTACAAGTATCCAAATTTTCAATTTTGCAATTTTAGATTCTTTCAATTTTTTTATTGTACAAAATTTCAATTTTAATTTTTCATGGTTCTGGTTTTTCAGTTTAATTATTTTACAATTTTTCGTTTTTAAAGAGGTATTCGATTTTTAAATTTTTCAATTTGTATACTTTTTTGATTTTTCAATTTTACATTTTTAGCACTTTTCAATTTTTTAATTTTAATGACTCAGTTTCTCAATTTACAATTTATAATACTTCGTTTTTAAAATTTTTCGTTTTTTCAAATTTCGATTTTGAATCTTTCAGGGTTTTGATTTTTCAATTTGATAATTTTCCAATTTTCCGATTTTTAAATTTTGTAATTTTTCCATTTCACAATTATGTATCTGATTGTTCAATTTTTCGATTTAAAATTGTTTGATTTTCAATTTTATATTTTCGCAGTTTTTCGGATTTACAGTTCGATTTTTCAATTATATACATTTTTTCAATTTTGTGATTTTACAATTTTTTGGTTTTTTCAATTTTACAATAATCCAATTTTTCAGTTTTAAATTTTTACACTTTTTTTTTTAATTTCAATTGTTTAAAATTTCACTTTTAATTTTTCTAGTTTTTGAGTTTTCAATGATCCGAATTTCATTGCTGTGATTTTATAATTTTTTGATTTTTAATATTTTAAAATTGTAATTTGCAATTTTCCAAGGTTTTGATTTTTCAATTTCAAAATGTTACAATTTTTCGGTCTTTCAGTGTTGTAATTTTTTCTATTTTAAAATTGTCTGATTTTTTATTTTTTAAATTTTAGGTTACACGATTTTTCAGTTTTGTAATTGTGCAATTTTGTGATTTTTTAGTTTTTTTTGCAAGTTTTCGCTTTCTGAATTGTCCAGTTTTTAATGAATCAGTTTTTCAATGGTGAGATTTTCCAATTTTTTTAATTTTTTTGTTTTGGAATCCTCCAATTGTTCCATTTTTCAATTTAATGATTTTGCAATTTTTCATTTTTACAGTTTAATAAATTTTCAAGTTTATTTCAGGGTTTTGATTTCTCAATTTCATAATTTTCCAATTTTCCGATTTTTAAATTTTGTAATTTTTCTATTTCACAGTTATGTATCTGATTTTTCAATTTTTCGATTTTAAAATGGTTTAATTTTCAATTTTATATTTTCGCAGTTTTTCGGATTTACAGTTCGATTTTTCAATTATATACATTTTTTCAATTTTGTGATTTCTCAATTTTTTTGTTTTTCAGTTTTAAATTTCTACAAATTTTGGATTTCTCAATTGTCCAATTTTTCAATTTTAAGTTTGATAATTCTTCGTTTTTAAAATTTTCGGTTTTTCAGTTGTTCAATTTTTGATCTTTTAGTTATCCGAATTTCATTTTTTGGATTTTCCAATTTTTGATTTTGAATTTTTCAAAATTTCGATTTTCAATTTTTCAAAGTTTTGATTTTTCAATTTCATAATTTCCCAGTTTCTCGATTTTTAAATTTATGGGATCTTTCTATTTTACTATTACCTGATTTTTCAATGTTTCCGTTTTAAAATTGTTCGATTTTCAATTTTATATTTTTGCAATTTTTGAGATTGAAAGTTTATAATTTTTCAGTTTTAGAATTATATCCAGTTTTTCAATTTTGCAATCGAATAACAATTTTTGGGTTTTCAGTTGTCCAATTTTTCAATTTTCAATTTAATAATTCCTCGTTGTTTCAATTGTTCAGTTTTGATTTCGATTTAAAAATTTTTCAATTTTTAATTTCCTATTTTTGCAAATTTTCAGATTGATGGTTAATAATTTTTTGATTTTACAATTATCCATTTTTTAGTTTTGTAATTTCGCAATTTTTTTGATTTTTCAGTTTTATATTTTTCTCGAGTAAAGTTTCCACCAAATATTTTTACAGTTTTGGATTTCTCACTTGTCCGATTTTTAATCAATTTTTTAATTTTCAATTTTATAATTCGTAGTATAAACTTTCTTTTCAATTGTTCAGTTTTTGATTTCTGAATTATTCGAGATTTTATTTTTTATTTTTTCAAAATTTTGAGGTTTCAATTTTTGATTTTTATTTTAATTTTCCAAAATTTCGACTTTTGATATTTCAGGTTTTTGAATTTTCTATTTCAGAATCTTGTAATTTTTTGGTTTTTAAATTTTGAAATTTTTCTGTTTTACAGTCATCTCATTTTTCAGTTTTTCAGTTTTAAAATCGTTCGATTTTCAATTTTATATTTCTGCAATTTTTCAGATTTACAGTTTAAAAGTGCTTCGATTTTATAATGATCTAATTTTTCAGTTTTGAAATTTTGCAATTTTTTGATTTTTCAGTTTTATATTTTTCTCGAATAAAGTTTCCACCAAATATCTTTACAGTTTTGGATTTTCAGTTGTCTGTTTTTTAATCAATTTTTTTATTTTCAATTTTATAATTTTTAGCTTAATCTTTTTTTCAAATGTTCAATTTTGATTTCTTAATTATTCGAGATTTTAATTTTCACTTTCTCAAAATTTTGATGTTTCAATTTATGATTTTTAATTTTTAAAAATCTCGAATTTCAATATTTTAGGTTTTTGAGTTTTCTATTTCAGAATCTCGCAATTTTTGCGTTTTTAAATTTTGCAATTTTTTGATTTTTCAGTTCTATATTTTTACAATTCTCCGATTTCTTAAATCGTCCGGTTTTTAATGAGACCGAATTTCATTGTTTCGATTTTCCAATTTTTTGATTTTTAATTTTTCAAAATTTCGGCTTTAATTTTTCAAGGTATTGATTTTCAGTTTAATTAGGTATTTTACAATTTTTTGTTTTTAAGGGTAACCGATTTTTCAAATTTTCGATTTTCCCCTTTTTTCATTTTTCAATTTTAGATTTTTAGTGTTTTTGAATTTTTCAATTATTCGCTTTTTCAGTCAATGAATTTCTCAATTTTCAATTGTATAATTATTCGTTTTTGAAATTTTTTGTTTTTTCAATTATTCAATTCTTGATTTTTCAATTAAACGAATTTCATTGTTTCGATTTCTCAGTTGTTTGATTTTCAAAATTTTGATTTTCAGTTTTTCAAGGTTTTTGATTTTTCAATTTCATAATTTTCCAATTTTTCTGATTTTTTAAATTGTCGAATTTAAAATTGTTCGATTTTAAACTTTAAATATTCTTGCAATTTTTTGATTTACAGTTCAATAATGTTTCGATTTTACAATTATATCCAATTGTTCAATCTTCAATTTAATTCGTTTTAAAAATTTTTCCTGTTTTCAATAGTTTAGTTTTTGATTTCAAAATTATCCGAGTTTCATGGTTTCGATTTTCCCATTTATGAATTTTATTTTTTCAAAATTTTGATTTACAATTTTTCAAAGTTTTGTTTTTTCAATTTCATAATTTCCCAATTTTTCGATTTTTAAATTTCTGGAAATTTTCTATTTTACGATTACCTGATTTTTGATTGTTTCGATTTTCAGTTTTATTTTTTTGCAATTTTTCAGATTTACAGTTTCATAATTTTTCGATTTTACAATGATCTAATTTTTCAGTTTTGAAATCTTGATTTTTTTGTATATTTTTTCAAATTTTCGATTTCTCAAATCGTTCGGTTTTTAATGAATCAATTTTTCAGTTATTCAAATTCCATTGTTTGAATTTTTAATTTTTTAAGTTTTTCATTTTTGAATTTAATAGTTTTGCAATTTTTCGAAACTACAATTATCTAGTTCTTCATTTTTGTAATTTTGTAATTTTTTTTAGTTTTATATTTTTTCATTTTTTCAGTTTCTCAGTTTTCGGTTGTTAATTAAACAATTTTCAATTTTTGATATTTCAATTGTCAAATTTTCCAATTTTTGGATTTTTCATCCTTCAATTGTTCGATATTTAAGTTATAGAATTTTTCATAAGTCAAAATTTTTGGATTATGGTTGTAAACAACAGTTGTATAGTTTAGTTTCTTACACTGTTATTGGTATTCTCTATATTTGTTTCAATGTTTAGAGGTTAGAGATTATCATAAATAACCGGGATTTGTTAGCCCAATTCTGAACAAATTCCCTTCTTCCAGGAAATGGTAGCATAATCCACCATGTCCACCAACGAGAATGCAGACACTGAAGACTTAATAGACCTCCACGTAGGCTCGCCCGTCCTCCCCCGAGTCCCCCCCTTCCCATGCCAACCCGACGCCATTTCGGACAACCTACTCGACTCAGAACTTCCAGTCCTCGAGCAAAAACTCCAAACCAGCGCCCACTCTTCCCTCCCTTGTCCCGACCGACGCCACAGCGTCGACGTGGAGGACATCCTCATCACCATAGACGACGACAACGAGTTCACCAGGAGCAGCTCCGTGCGCCGCAGCAACAGCGAAGCCCTCCTGCACCACCCCCCCAAGAACCACCTCGACAAATCCTGGTCGTGCGACAACATCGAGGCCCTCACCGTCCTCAGGAACCTCGACGACATCCTCAACGCCTCCCTCCTCGAGTCCGACAAGATCCTCGCCAACGACGACTCCACCGAGAGCGTCGAAGCGTGCCTGCTCGACCTAGACAACTATCTACAAGCACTCGAACTCGACGATAACGTTAATGACGCATCGCTCGAAACCACCGAGCAACCAAGCATACGAAGTAGCGCGAGTTCGCTACACACCGAGACCGCTAGCTCCGAAGATGTTAGTTTGAGGAATCGACTTCGACAGATGGAGGAGAATTATGCGAGGTTTTTGGCTTCGGGGTGCGTGAACCGCGGGTTTGTTGACAGCGAGCCCCAGGTGTCGGCCACGTTGAGACCGAGGAGTGCGTGTGGGAGGCGCAGCGAAGCGCTGGAACGGAACCACCCGTACCGGGCTACCGTGACGGGCGGGAAGAGGGAGCGCCCGGTACTACCCAGGTACGATATTTTCTATCACCTGCCTTTTTTGTAATCGAGTTTTCATGACCTTTTATGACTCCTAAGTACGAAGAAATAAGTCTCTCATTTCCGTCTGTCTGTCTGTCCGTCCGTCCATAGGCACGCTATATTTTTTAATCAGCACGTGACGATTTATATCTTAGAATTTTTTTCTTAGATTTTTGGAAAATATTTTCCAAAAGCTCATTTTTCGACCATCTCTGAAAATTACCCAAAGAGATTTTGTTGTAAATTTTGACTCCCCAGGCTATTCTGGGCTACAGTTTTTCGAAAAAATTCAGTATGTTCTAAAATCGCTAATAAAAAATTGACGATTTTTGAAAATTAAAAAAATATATATTCCGAAAATTTTGGTCCGGAATTGTTATGTTATTGGAATCAGCACAGCAGGATCTATATCCTAGAATTTTTTGTAGTTTTTTGGACAATATTTTCAGAAAGCACATTTTTTTTAAAACGAACTTATGAAATTTTCGACCATTTTCGAAAAAGATCGAAAGACATTTTGTTGTATATTTGGACCTCCACAAGCTATTTTTAGATTTATTTCTTCGAAAATTGCCACCATTTTTCCCAGAATAGACAATATAAAATTGACGTTTTTTGGGATTTTTAAAAACCATTAATTTTGGTCCCGAATCACAGAGGCGCTATATTTTTTAGAACAGCATGTCGAGATCTATATCGTAGAATTTTGTTGTAGATTTTTGAACAAAATTTTCCAATAGATCAGTTTCTCAATACGAAATTTTGAAATTTTAGACCATTTTTTGACCGCCTTAGAAAATTATCTAACGGTAGTTTGTTGCAGATTTCGACATCCACAAGCTATTTACATTTTGATTTCTTCGAAAATTCGTGTTTTTTCCAAAATGGCCAATATAAAATTGACAATTTTTTGGGATTTTTAAATACAATTAATTTTTCGAGAAACTTGGTCCCGAATCTTAGACGCACTATATTTTTTAAATCAGTAAGTCGATATCCATATCGTAGAATTAACCTGACTCCAGGCAAAGATTTTCGAAATATTAATTTTTTTTATTCACAAAAATTTCCAATTTTATATTGGCGATTCTGGAAAAATAGTAGGAATTTTCGAAGAAACGAAGCCGAAAATAGCTTGTGGAGGTTCAAATCAACAAGAAAATAGTTTTGGGAAATTTTCGAACATGAAAATTTAATGATTTCGTATTAAAAAATTGAGCTTTTCGAAAATATTGTCCAAAAATCTACAAAAAAATCTAGGGTATAGACTTTGACGTGCTGACTTAAAAAATATAGCGTGTCTATGATCCTGGACAAAGATTTTCGAAACATCAAATTTTGTAAAATTTCCCAAAATATTGCCAATTTTATATTGGCGACTGTGGAAAAATAGTATACATTTTTGAAGAAATAAAGTCAAAAATTGCTTGTGAATGTCAAAATCCACAAGAAAATAGCTTTGGGTAATTTTCTAAGGTGATCGAAAAATAGTGCAAAATTTCATTATTTCGTCTGAAAAATTGAGCTTCCAGAAAAATTGTTCAAAAATCTAAACAAAACTATGATTTAAAAAATTGAGTCTGTTTAACCCATTTTAACCATTTTTTTTTTGGTAAAGTCTTAAAAATCATGAACTCGCTTTCACATCAGTTTGAAAAGTCGATAAATTAAAAGTTGGAAGAATCAATCGAAAAATCCAAAACTCAAAAGTCGAGAAACAAGAAATCGAAAAGTCGGAAAATCCAAAATTCGAGAAAGGATAATTTTTCGACGGTCTTCGAAAATTACTCAAAGGCATTTTCTGTGTATTTGGGGATCCACAAGCTATTTTCAGTTTCATTTCTTCGAAAAATCCTGCAATTTTTCCAGAATCACTTTAAAAAACTGACACTTTTTTCTGAATTTTTCAAAAATTTAGTTTTTCGGGAAATCTTGTTCCGAGATCATAGGCACGCTATATTTTTTAATCAGCACGTGGAGATGCATAACTTAGAATTTTATTTAGTTTTTTGAACAATATTTTCCAAAAGCTCATTTTTTCGATGCAAAGTTGCGAAATTTTCGATCATTTTTCGACCATATCTGAAAATTACTCAAAGAAATTTTGTTCTAAATTTTGACTCCACAGGCTATTCTCAGCTACAGTTTTTCGAAAAAATTCAGTATTTTCTAGAATCGCTAATGTAAAATTGACGATTTTTTGAAAATTTAAAAAAAAATATATTTCGAAAATCTTGGTCCGGGATTGTTATGTTATTGGAATCAGCATAGTGAGATCTATATCCTAGAACCTATTGTAGTTTTTTGGACAATATTTTCCGGAAGCACAATTTTTTTAAAACGAAATTATGAAATTTTCGACCATTTTCGAAAATTACCGAAAGATCTTTTGTTGTATATTTGGACCTCCACAAGTTATTTTCGGATTTATTTCTTCGAAAATTGCTATTATTTTTCCTAGAATAGACAATATAAAATTGACGTTTTCTAGGGATTTTTAAAAACCATTAACCTTTCGAAAATCTTGGTCCGGAATCATAGAGGCGCTATATTTTTTAGATCAGCGTGTCGAGATCTATATCGGAGAATTTTGTTGCAGATTTTTGGACAAAATTTTCCAAAAGATCAGTTTCTCAATATGAAATTTTGAAATTTTGGACCATTTTTTGACCGCCTTAGAAAATTATCTAAAGGTAGTTTGTTGCAGATTTCGACATCCACAAGCTATTTTCATTTTGATTTCTTCGAAAATTCGCATTTTTTCCAAGAGCGCCACTATAAAATTGACAATTTTTTGGGATTTTTAAATACAATTAATTTTTCGAGAATCTTGGTCCGGAATCATATAAGCACTATATTTTTTAAATCAGCACGTCGAGATCCATATCGTGGAATTAGCCTGACTCCAGACAAAGATTTTCGAAATATTAATTTTTTAAAATTCCCAAAAACTTGCCAATTTTACATTGGCGATTGTGGAAAAACAGTAGGAATTTTCGAATAAACGAAGCCGAAAATAGCTTGCGTAGGTCCAAATCAACAAGAAAATTGTTTTGGAAAATTTTCGAACATGAAAATTTAATAATTTCGTATTAAAAAATGAGCTTTTCGAAAATATTGTCCAAAAATCTACAAAAAAATCTAGGGTATAGACTTTGACGTGCTGACTTAAAAAATAGCGTGTCTATTATCCTGGACAAAGATTTTCGAAACATCAATTTTTTTAAAATTTCCAAAATATTGCCGATTTTATAATGGCGACTGTGGAAAAATAGTATAAATTTTTGAAGAAATAAAGTCAAAAATTGCTTGCGAAGGTCAAAATCCACAACAAAATACCTTTGGGTAATTTTCAAAGGTGATCGAAAAATCGTGCAAAATTTCATTATTTCGTCTAAAAAATTGAATTTCCAGTTTAAAAATCTAAACAAAATTCTGATTTAAAAAATTGAGCCTGTCGAACCCATTTGAACCATTTTTTTTTGTTAAGTCTTAAATTGTGAACTCGCTTTCACATCATTTTGAAAAGTCGAAAAATTAAAAGTTGGAAGAATCAATCGAAAAATCCAAAACTCAAAAGTCGAGAAACAAGAACTCGAAAAGTCGGAAAATCCACAAATCGAGAAAGGATAATTTTTCGACGGTCTTCGAAAATTACTCAAAGGCATTTTCTGTGTATTTGGGGATCCACAAGCCATTTTCGGCTTGATTTCTTCGAAAAATCCTGCAATTTTTCCAGAATCACTAAAAAAAACTGGCAATTTTTTCTGAATTTTTCAAAAATTTAGTTTTTCGGGAATCTTGTTCCGAGATCATAGGCACGCTATATTTTTTAATCCGCACGTGGAAATGTATATCTTAGAATTTTTTTTAAGTCTTTTGAAAAATATTTTCCAAAAGCTCAATTTTTCGATGTGAAGTTGCGAAGTTTTCGATCATTTTTCGACCATCTCTGAAAATTACCCAAAGAGATTTTGTTGTAAAGTTTGACTCCACAGGATATTCTCGCCTACAGTTTTTTGAAAAAATTCAGTATATTCTAGAATCGCTAATATAAAATTGACGATTTTTTGAAAATTAAAAAAAATTATATTTCGAAAATCTTGGTCCGGGATTGTTATGTTATTGGAATCAGCATAGAGAGATCTATATCCTAGAATTTTTTGTAGTTTTTTGCTCAATATTTTCCGAAAGCACAATTTCTTTAAAACGAAATAATGAAATTTTCGACCATTTTCGAAGATTATCGAAAGATATGTTGTTGTATATTTGGACCTCCACAAGCTATTTTCGGATTTATTTCGTCGAAAATTGCTACTATTTTTCCCAGAAGGGACAATATAAAATTGACGTTTTTGGGATTTTTAAAAACCATTAATCTTTCGAAAATCTTGGTCCGGAATCATAGAGGCGCTATATTTTTTAGATCAGCATGTCGAGATCTATATCGTAGAATTTTGTTGTAGATTTTTGGACAAAATTTTCCAAAAGATCAGTTTCTCAATAGGAAATTTTGAAATTTTGGACCATTTTTTGACCGCCTTAGAAAATTATCTAAAGGTAGTTTGTTGCAGATTTCGACATCCACAAGCCATTTTCATTTTGATTTCTTCGAAAATTCGTATTTTTTCCAAAATCGCCAATATAAAATTGACAATTTTTTGGGATTTTTAAATACAATTAATTTTTCGAGAATCTTGGTCCGGAATCATAGACGCACTATATTTTTTAAATCAGCACGTCGATATCCATATCGTAGAATTAGACTGATTCCAGACAAATATTTTCGAAATATTAATTTTTTTAAATTCCCAAAAACTTTCCAGTTTTATATTGGCGATTCTGGAAAAACAGTAGGAATTTTCGAAGAAACGAAGACGAAAATAGCTTGTGGAGGTCCAAGTCAACACGAAAATAGTTTTGGGAAATTTTCGAACATGAAAATTTAATGATTTCGTATTAAAAAATAGAGCTTTTCGAAAATATTGTCA